GTGCACTACGTTTGTCACAGCCTTTGGGACATATAACGCTATTTGATCCACCTTCTGGCATGCATGATAGCTCATACGACGACGTTTTCTTCCTCACCGGCAATTGACGGTAGATTTGAAACATTTATTATACGAACGATGTCGTGGATTGTAGGATCAGTAGCTGGTAGAACTTGCTACTGAAGTAGAGTATTATTTTGTATTTTGATGCCATACTTCAAGGTGGTCCACCAGGTCCTGAATCGTAATAGTATCACGATTCGCACTGTCATGAAATGATAATCTCGAAGTTGGGATTTGTCAGCAGCAGGTAGGGGTTATAGAGTTTAAACTTCTAGAGAGAACGTAGTGCTCTGTGTGTGATCTTATAGCAGAAGAATAAAAGTGTTCAGCGATGTGTTGCTTTGCTATCAGTTGCCAAAATAGTCCGCAGCAGTTTACGACGCGTTGTACAGAACCTTAGCAAGGCTACTATCTTTTGAGTTTTGTTGTGTGAGGGTTCATTCTGCACGTGAAGTGCAAACATCTTGTTCGTATGGTTCGTAGGGACCACAGGGGATGACTGGTTTGACAAATCGAAGAATTACTGAGATCATAAGTGTAGGCCATTAGTAGGCCATAACAAGATCTACAAGCAATTAGTCATAGTTCAAGCCGTCCTCCTGAAGGATAAACCTTGTAGCCTTGAAGAGTTTAGATACGCCTGAGTTTGAAAGCATGGGTGGCAACTAATAAGACAGTATTGAAGTTCATAACCTATTGAGACCTATCAATGAATTCCACAGTAACTGAAGTTTATTCATGAACTAGTCCTATCTATTCATATAAAAATATACCAGGCTAGCGTAAACTGCAGATAGGAACAATACGGAGCGATATGCCAAGTTCGGGGAGCGGAAAAAAACACAGGTTTGGGGCTCAAATCGTATCGGAGCATAAGGATTTTTGAATCCGACAGACCTTTGCCATAATTACAGGAAATCTGAGGAGTTAAAGCGAATTGTATCTCGATAAAACCAACTCGGGCATATGTCTGCGTTTTCAATTTATTAAAATATACTCCGATATTTTAAAATCATGTGTTGCGTGCATCATTACAGTGTACGATATTCTGTTTATAGTGCACTGGATTGAGCTGTAGTTATTTATATGCTCAACCACTTGCCTTTGTGCGCTCAATCATTTGCTTAGCAGCTTCATGAAGGTCTCAAATATTCCATTGTACACAATCATTCCACTACGACTGAATATGACCAAACCGCTCAACACTGGAATCCACAAAAAATATAAGGTCATGTTTCTAATTATATGATGCTCAACAAACCAGTATTCAGGCCACATCAAACATAATCTCTAGGCGCTGGTTTCTAATTCAAGTCTATTCGCGGCGGACGGGCGGAGATAATATTATCCAAAACTGATGCGTACTTTTAAGTCAATACTATCACAGAAAACAGAAAAACTCTCGTCACCCGGAACATGCAGTTTTCGATCAAATATTTATTTTCCATTACAATGACGTATACGGTAAGCGCAAACTTTCTCGGTGCCAAATATGTCGGTGCTGTGACCAATACAGAAGACACCGAAACTCCTGCGAATTATGGTAGTATTAGTATCAATGGCTGTGATCTTGGAGATACCATCAAACTTGGGGTTTGCAAGGTATCGAACGTTGTTTGCCATATTATACTAGCAGACAGCACCCGATTATACCGTTGATGCAAAGATCGTCATGGATCTGTAGTTTGGTATTTTTGTCTTATAGTTTCATAACAATGTGAAGGATGTCAATACATCCTTGGCGGATCCAAATTGATACATCAGGGCAGGTCCGAAAGTGTCAGAGCTCGCTGAGAATCAAGTACACTGGGCTATAGCCGATGAAAGCGATGATTCTTTCATAGTTGAATCTGTGCTCAGCTGGTGTTATGACGAACTCGCTCCTTACGACTGGCAACTACAGAATCTTATCTAATTTTCATACTTGTACAATCTTACACCCGAACAAGTGAACTTTGAAGACTACGAAGTGTGCCTAAAGGGGTGGGAGTGCTATGCAGAGACTGACTGGGGAGTTGAGCGGACCCGCGTAGTTTATACTCCTCTCAATGTCCATGCACATCGCGCAGCAGCCTGGTTTCTTATCCAGAGCTTACATAGGTGTTGCCATGATGTAAACTTTGCTCAACACTGCGGAGGTGGTCAGCAAATGGACGAAGACTGAACTGAATGGTGAACCCGTCAAGAATTTTCTCGTCGGTCTCAGTACCATCTTGCGGACGATTGTTACTATATGTTACTATGATTTCATATGGGAAGCTGTCGATCCAACTTCAAACTTTGCTACTGTGCTAGTTGTATCATTCGATTTATTTTAAGAAGTGAGACTGCGAAACATGTTTTTGCCGTTAGGCTAATTTATGCTGTTAGGAGAAATAAAACATATGAGCGTTTGGACTTTGTCTTCTCATACCACTACCTTGAGATTGCCAAGAATGAACTCAATGACTCCTTTCCCTGTGGGTCTTTTAATTCAACTTGAATATGTAGATATTGTTGCAACAGCTCTATCAACTAAGTTGGAAAGGAGAGAAAAGAATAATCAAATTCCTATGAGCCCTCACAACGTTTGTATACGGTAGCGCAGCCCGATACTGCATCGACAAGTGGAAAGTTCCAATAAAACATTTATATAGGTTAGTGTTGGTACACTTTGAGACAGAATAGTGTTATTAAAAATTATCAGATAGGTGGCCCGATGAAACCTCTAAAATCACCTGATGTGTGGATGAAGTGGAGTCAATGTAGCGCAGTCAAACTTCACATTCAGCTCATTTTGTAGTTTCGAGTTCATCATGGATGTTCCCTCCTCTAGATATGGTTTGAGGGCTCTAGGAGTCTAGGGGGTTGAAAGTAATATATCGGTTTCCGCGGTTCGTGTACATAGCTTTGATATTTTTTAACAAATTAAATTCAAATACCAACTAACCTTAAGCATCAAACCTTCCTATCTTGGTGCATCATTGCACGTTCGTAGGCATGCATAAACACACGCTGATATGAGATATACTCATCGTCAGTAATTTGGAATTAGGCACTCGCGAATACGAGTAAGAAATGAACTTATTCATATCTATTAAAGGATTTATATGTTTATACTCACGCGTAATACTGTTTAGCTTAGCGAGTTCGAACCCGTGAAAATTGTCTATAAGTACCTCACTGTGTGCGACACTTAGGTCTGAATGGCTTCAAAGTTCCAAAGCGGGCTTGGCACCTGCTACGTTGCAGCATACTCATATCTGAATGGCCGCTATATATTGTAGCTTCTTTGCGAGAGCGTGGAAGATAAATGTATTTTTTTTCTTGTTACTAAGTATTTGATTAATAGATATTATGTCGGTGACAATTTAAAAAGTTGTTTGCACATCTCTCTCGTGATCCTTCTCCTCAGTGATGGTGTGATCTGCGAAGGTATCCTCTACCTCAGTCTCAGCAAAAGATTTCTGTGATATAATGATAATAATTGTGCAATTAATTCGAGCGCTACATATTTTATGAAAGGTTGCTATATAGATCCGCCCAAACAAAGATAAGTATAAACAAATGAAAACGCACTTTTAAACCGACGAAGATCCGCCCAAAAATATGAGCAAAAATAAATTTGAATAAATAGAAACGCACATAAAAACCGACATACCATACTAATAGAAATACCACTTTCTCGCATATTCTGTACCATCAACTCATTGTAATTCTCAAGGTACCGAATGTAGTCTATACTCCTCTTGAGAGTCGATCCCTTGCACTGCTTGATCTGAATAGAGATGGAAGGTAAGTCAGAAAAAGAAAAAACTCGCCCACCCTACTAGCTACAACAATTGAAGCTGTGATTTAAATAAATAAATCAGATTCTCATGTTTCAACGAGCCACCAAGAGGAACAACTGAATGAGATATGAAATCCATGAATATCGTACACACCTTACTACGTGACAGCGCAACGGCCGGTAACATCTCTTGGAGCTCCTTTATCCTATCATTGATATTATACCTTCTTTTCCTCTCAACTGAAACAGGGACAGTGATACCATATTAGAAACCGTGAAATGCAAATTGCAACTATACTGTCCTGCATCTCAAGAAAAGAGAACAGCTATCATTTTCTACATACGTTCAGATGATACACGTGTGAAGTATGCATGGCGAGTTCCCGGATAACAAAAATACAATCCAAAAATCTACAAGTGAATATACACAGTGTAGGCAGACTTACTTGCATTGTGGCTAGCCTTCTTTATGCGGCTTTTCCTCGACAGATTCACATCCACACGAGATGCGGGTGTGTTAAACATGAAAGGGCCAGTTGTTGCACCAGCAACAGCTGGTGGAGGCGGATGAACCTTTGCCGCCTGGAGGTGTAATGGTGAAATGGAGAGACAAGCCGATAGTCAGATACACATATGTAGCAGCATGGTAATAAATCTAAAAGTGCAGATGAGCGGAAATCAATACCCATTCACCAAATTCACACAGATTTTTAGTAGAAACCTGTAAACACGGAAGAATTTTACAGGGAAACAGTGTATATACGAATCTATATCCATACCATTGTGGCGTTGTAGGGGGTCGACCCCCTCCTGGGTACCAGAATCTGATGGACATTTGCCGTTGGGTTCACTGATGGGACTGAGACCCGGTGTAAACCCGCCGAGTTTATCGGGACAGGAGCGCTCTGAGGTACTTGTGCTAAGGTGGATGGCAAGGGTGATGTATTTTGTCTGACTAAATTGCCAGTTAGTATGGCGTCCGTATGTAGTGCGGAAGGTGCCGAAAGTTGAGTTTGTACACTAGGATGTGCTTGAGCTTGAGCTGGTTGCTGTGTGTGTGTGATGGGCTGAGAGAAAGTATGCCCCAGGCCGTTATTTTGCTGCCTAGAAGCGTTGATCGACGTATTTTGCAGCATAGGCGCCATGGTGGAGCCAGGCAAAGTTTGTAAATGCGCGAGTGTTGCCGGAGTACTGGTTCCAATATTCAGATCAAACATAGGCTTCATATCCGCACCAGATGCAGATAAAGGCGACACTAAGGTCGCATCGCGGGTATTATCATCACGAGTGAGCGACATCCTTTTGAGGTCGCCAATACCACTCGCGTGTAGTCTTTCAATCGATCGGGGACTTGACAGAGGGCTTTTTACCGGCCCTCCTCCTATGGTACCTGATCTTTTCCTCGTAAAAGTTTCCGGGATATCCAGCTGGCGCCCAAAACTCGATGCAGCCTGGGTTGTTCCTAAAGTACTTGCCCGAGACAAGGACTCCTGCATATCTACTCCATCCCCATTACCAGAGGTGTCCATCAAATCTTGAGAGCTCGTCGTATTCTCTAGCCCTACCCCACTCCCCTCCGAACCTGACTTGGGTGTTGATGCTGGTGTAGTGTTATTACTTATCCTATTGTCCATACTCTGCTGCCTTTCAATGACTTTTGCTTTCTGTTTCGCATCTAACACATCCAACAACACAGCCTCTTTTGCTGCAGCCATGGCCTGTGCACGTGTCGTTAGGTACCCAGTAGGTGCACTGACTCCATACGCAGTACTAGCCTTCTGTTCGGGTGTTTGCGACTCACTAGCTGATTTTGGAGACTTACCGTGCTCTATAGACTCTGGTAGTTCCGCACCACTGTCTATAGAATTCTTCCCCGAAAGCGAGTTGCGTCCGTTTCCAGAAGTACTCTTGGCAGCGCTGGACTGTGAACTCTGCGAAGAAATAGACTCGCTACGACTGTAAGGCTTTCGGTTGTCATTAGCACTATGGGATAGAGACGAATGAGCTGCACCGCCTTGCCCGCTACCATTGTCTGACTCCGATGTAGAGAACGCTTCTCTAGATTTAAAAGCAGAGTCCTTGCTAAAACCAGAATTCGCCGAGTTGCTACCAGAACTCAATCCGTCGCCATCTAAACTGACTTTTCCCATAGTAGAGGTCAATGTACTTTGACAACTAAGCGAGCTAGCAAGGAGATTAGTATTGCGGGGGGTATCTTGACTATGCATACTGAATTGATGTCTCAAGTTATTATTTTCAGGATTCATGCCGGGGGCCAATCCTGCTCCTTGCGGATGTGCTTGTGATGCTCCTACGGCTGGCTGTGACATAAATAGGCGGATATGAAGTATAGATGATATCAATTCACAGGCAAAAATAAAATCCCAACCCACGAGATACAATATATACAATAACGCCCATATTAAGCAAAGTCCGGACCGCGAATATAAACCGTACCTGTCCGTTTAGAAAAGCTGACGCCTGTGCCCGCAACTGCGCTTGCATAGCGTCTGTTTGCGCCCCGCTACCCCTCATCTCGATACCATTGCCCCCTAGACTCGGCATGGACACATTTTTTTGGTCAACATTGGCGTTTTGAGCCTGTGCTTTATCACCCTTCCTTCGCAGGTGATAATTTGTGGGAAACATCAGCATAGGTAAGGGTTCGTTCGTATTCGTCGCTCCTGACGCTAGAAGCTGTTCGCTATATGCGGGTGGAGCCGCTTGTACTTGTTGGTGTGGTTGCAACGCATGGGCGATCTCACGTCTGCAGAGAGGCGCGGAAGCACTAAATGATATTAAACGTATATCATATATTCTCGATACGAGTGACAAATTAAAAGCAAAAATAAACCCACAATATAACTTCCAGTGCTACAGAAAGCAGGAGTGTACCCGAAAACTCAAGTTGTACCAAATGTGTAAGGATCAAACATACTGTATCTGCGCCTCCGTAATCTCTGTGGGCGATGTGCTTGAGCTAGCCCCACCCGAAGATATTGAGCCGACGAGCGGTTGTGCAGACGTAGCAATCTGTTGTTGCTGCATTTGAAAAACAAACAGCACCTAAGTATGGATACGAAAGTACTAGCCAGTCATGGTTGCACGCTTGCTTGTATTTATTCAATCTCCGTGTACGTTCAGACACAGAACTAAGAAATATGATACTCGATATGGATGGCGAAAGAAAATATGTACATTGTGAAAAATATAAAAAAAGTTCTGTGGCAAGAATAAAAAAATAGATAAAAATTAGAGTATCAGTAGTATGAGGAATGAAAGTAGCGATTAGATTGACGAGAAGTCGCATACAAGCAATACTGTACCTGTAGACCCAGCCACGGATCTTGAAACTGAAACTGAAATCGCTGTTTCATCTGCTCATGGTGTTTAGGGCAAAAGGTTGGGGCAAATGCAAAAAGAGGACAAACAATACAACAATATTTACCTTTTTCTTCGTACTTTTCATTTTTGAAAGCCGGCTTCAATCGAATACAAATACGGTATTAAAGCACATTCACAACATGTACATATATCTGTATGCAATTCTTCAAATTGAACCAACACATGCATACCGATTGTTTTCTTTCCACCAACTCAATGCCAATCAAATACAAAATCACGAAAGTGTCTTTACCTCATACAACACAAAAATAAATTCAAACCTCGAAAGACTGCCTCCGAGATTCACCATCAGCACTACTCAACACAACGCACTACACCAGACGCATATACAACATACATCAAACACTCAGATTTTCTTTCCAGTACGGCAACATGGTACAGTGAAAACGCTGAAGCTCGCACTTTGATGTAATATAAGAGAGTAAAGATTTACACATAATCCTTACTAAATCTTCTGAACAATATCCAATGACTTTACCTGGTGTTGATTGCGTAATTGTTCTATTTTTTTCAGCTCTTGCTGCTGGTTCTGCAATTGTATTTGTAGTTGTGCCAGTAGATTCTGCTGTTGCTGTGGTTGTAAATTCGCCAGACTGCTGAGCTGGCGCTGTTTGACGTAAAGCGAAAACAAACAAACATTAAGAATCTATGATGGCGGAAGACGATGATACACAATATAAGAAATGAGATTCAGATAGGAAATATGAATTGACACTCCAACCCTGAGGTGTTTTCAGTTCAGAACATACTAATACTTTCGAAATAATAAATGTAGGGGGAATGCGATGCCTAAACAAGTAAAAGGTGATCCGACAAACCTGTTGAGCTTCCCACGGATCCATCGGTTTATCACAAGCCCTCGTCAGTGGGTTACCATCGATGTTGACATTATAGGTAGGAGGATTGACGTTCATGTCAAGTGCAGGGATCAGATCTATACCACCACCTGCAAAGTTTTGTGCAGAAGATCCCATAGATCCTCCTGGTGCCATAGCAGCCAGGGAGACTGGCAACATCGCATTTGAAGGATTGAGAGCAGTCATCGGCGTCGACATATTGTTCATAAGGCCTGAAACAAAAAGAGAAATGGCAGCACGCAATTGGCAAGCTATTTTATACTTGACTTTGGTAATGATGGAACAAACTCTTCCAATATAATCATGCAATGAGTAGATTGTCATATAAAAACCATCGAGACGACATAGACATACATACACAGCGACGACAAGTTTGATTCACTACATGCACCACAGATATTGGCAAGCAACAATTTGAGATATGCACACGTGTTTGTCATTTCCCAAATCGAACACACAATTTTGCATACTGAGGTCAGAGCCGCCAGGCATACCAGCCAGCGCATTCGCACTCGCCTCACTGAAACGAGTAAGGTCTGCTACGTGTCCCACTGATCCTTGATCTGCAGTTGCTTTTGCATCGTCGTGAATTGATTGCAACCGTTGCATGTTCATGCGTTCCTGAGGTCGCAGCGCAATAATTGTAAAATAGGTTAAGGTTGTATCTAGACCAGTTGACTCAATTTGATCAGGTGAGCAGTTGCAGAGCTCAGCAGCCAGAGGCTACAAGTTAAAAAGTATATACACCGTTACTCAGCTACATTTCGATTATAATAAATTCGAGAAAAACAGGAAATGAAAAGCAATAACCGTTATCTTTGTGCAGAAAACACAAAGCTAATATTAGTTTATGTTTATAAGCAATAAAAAGCCGAAGTAAATGCAAAGAGAAGCCCCAAAAGATTACCGTAAATAGTCGAAAATAGTGAGTCAGAAAGTTAACAAGTACCTGGCAGAAAGAACCTCGGTTCTCGATCTCGTGCATCATAGCCTATACAATATACCACACAAGTGACATAATAAAGAGAACATGAATATTTGTGTTAAACGTATTCAGTTAAAAGGCAAATTCAAAAATTACAGATATAACAGAATATGAACACAAACAAACCTGTGCATCGATTTGTGAATTCTTATCGTTGGTGACGGTATGTGAATATTTATCACAAGCTGACTATGGGGCGTTTTACTATATTGCATAAAACTGTGTTGTAAATACATATGAAATTGGATAAGTATCCATACCTGTACTAAATCTACAGGGGCTTGTTGCTCCATCGTGCTTCCAATGGAAAAGTCTGTAGTTCCCATGTAGTTAATAATGGCGAGATTAGAATACATTACCAAAATAAAAACTAACGAATGTGGTCCGCGCGCTCTAAAACCCCAGTAATCTAGCTACTTATATAAAGGCAAAAGAAATATAAAACTCTTCAACTATAAAGTATACCTGTGTAAGTATACAGACACAAACGCGTGCAGCTGATTCGTCAAGTGTACCGTGAACTTCAACATCTAATACTTCCATCGACAAAAGATCACGCCAACAACAAAACACAAATCGAATCGAAAGACATATACCAAAATGAGCCAGATTGATAATTCTTTATCTATCAACCTGTAATTACATAATTTAAAATTACCTTGTGTTAATACAGTCCAACCTCGGATTCCCGAAGGGAGTTACTGAATTTGCAGGATAAACGGCCCAACTCAAATCGGGGGTGTGATTGAACACTACAGCTTGATATTGTTTTTTTAAAGGCACTTACTATAATTAAGCGCCGGGTATAGTGTAAAAACTGAGTGTCTCAAAATATATGTGGTGGTTGTCTATTACACACGTACGAAGGCACATAATAACCTACTTACTCAACTACAGACCTGTCTTCTACTGTAGCATATCGAGTCTGCCTCAAATGTCGAGCATGTTTAATGTTGGAGAAGGCACGCCAACTGTCGCAAAAGCCAAATAGCAGCGCCAGAGCCCAGACCGGCACTCCCTGTTCGATATTGTTACTTTTCTTAAAAATTAAAAAGTTTATGGGTTCTTGTTTAGAAAAAAACAATTCGGAAAAATGTCAGTTTCCTATAAGCTACTGGCCCTGGAACCCCCTGGTCAGTTGTGAATTTGCTATTCAGTTAATTTCGTTTCACTTCCTATGATGTTAGTGGCTGATTTGCAGTGGAAATCTGGGTATAGTATAGAGCAACTTGAGCCACGACTCATCCTGCCTTTGGTCAAAGGGAATAGTAAAGAGCAGATAGGAAGAGTAGCAACATTCAACAGTATACATAAGTATAAGTATTTCCTAATAAAACTATTGCGTTTCCTCCTTTCCAATCGACTACTCTCTGCCTATATGGAATATGGAATTATGGATTATATAAAAAGAGTAAATAGAGAGAGTGTGTTAAACAGCTAGAGTAAATTATAAAAAATGGAATAATATAGGCATTGTGGACTTCTTGAAGTTTTATGCACTTGTGCTCTCTCGCGCCAGCGCCAGCCCGTCCGCACACGTCGCACGATCGATTCACAGGGCGCAGGGCCGCAGGCTCGCAGCAATTGCCCTCGCTGAGACAGACCCCTCATCAGTCCTCAGTCTTCGATCCTCAGTCCTCAATCCTCACTACAGTAGAGGACTCCTACACTACTAAGTAGTAAATAGACTCCTACAGTCCCACTCCCTTATCCCCCTGCCCTTTTCCCCAGAAAGAGGACCCAGCCCCCAGTCCCAGGGTCTACTCTCTCTCTCTCTCTTCTCTCTCTCTCTAGTATAAAAGTAGGACTCCAGAGTCCAGACTCCTGTATAGAATCTGCGATCTGCGTGCGCTTACAGTAGGACTATAGAGTGTAGGACTGTAGGATACTCAATACTCTCTCTCTCTCTCTACTACTAATAACTAAAATTAAAATTAAAAAAGAGAGAGAGAGAGAGAGAGAGAGAGTAGTGAGTATCCTACAGTCCTACACTCTATAGTCTATTTATATATACGTATATTTATATATATTTATATATGCGTATATTTATATATATTTATATATACATATATTTATATATACATATATTTATATATACATATATTTAAAAATATTTACATTTATATATATTTATATATATTTATATATACATATATTTATATATATTATATTAATATAAATTTATATATACATATATTAATAGATTCATTTATATATATATATATATATATATATATTGTATATGTATATGTATATGCATATGCATATGTATATGTATATGTATATGTATATGTATATGTATA